CTAATAATATAATATATTGTAAGAAAATATATATTGTAAGCCGCTCTGAGTCCCCTTCGGGGTGAGAAGGGCTGCATATAAATGCCGTAAATAAATAAATAAATAACATGAGGAAGAACTTCCTGACTGTGAGAGCCATTCAGAAGTGGAACTCTCTGCCCCGGAGTGTGGTGGAGGCTCCTTCTTTGGAAGCTTTTAAACAGAGGCTGGATGGCCATCTGTCAGGGGTGCTTTGAATGCAATATTCCTGCTTCTTGGCAGGGGGTTGGACTGGATGGCCCATGAGGTGTCTTCCAACTCTATGATTCTATGATTTCCAAAAACATGTCTTGGTAGAGACCTAGTATTCAGTCTCCCTTATACACAGAAATGGCCCAGCAATATAGTAGCAGTAGCAAAATGACTTGACACATTATCACGAACTCACACAAGATTCCTCAATTGAATAATTACACGTCCCATCCCAGAGATTTCTGGTGGGAATGTGGAGAATCGAAAGGAGCTTCCCTCTCCCCAGAACATCTTGTGCAACATCTCATCTCACCTGATGATGTGAGCAGCAACAGAAGGCCCATACCAATCTCCTGCTTTTTTCCCTGAACTGTGTCCCAGGCTGACTAGACGGTGGATCCCAAAGTGTGCTTGAGGTCTATCTGCAAACCAGGAGATAATCTTCCGGTGATAACGCTCTTTTTCCAGTTCATCAGGGCTGCGGGTGTGCCGAGGGGCCCGCAGCTCCCAGGGGCCTCTGCTCTTATCGGTGGGGATGGGTGGGCCCTGATGCGAGTTGGCTGTGCTGGGACAGGGAAGGTGGGTAACTTTCATGGGGTCCATCTCCACTAAACCTGGGGTGTGAAGAGCATCTGGCCAAATCCAGTCTGAAAATCAGAACACAAAAGCAAGGACCAGAATAAATTCAGTGGAATAAGCTCCTCAGCTTGTGGGCAAAATTTGTTGTGCTTAAAGATGAGGGAAGAAGGCTCCTCTCCTCAAATGGTCCACCCCCCCGACACCACCTACCTTTGCCAAGGAAATGGACAATGAGTCCCTGAGCCAGCAGCATCTGCCCACTGCGCAACATGCAGCCCCAGCCACAGTCAGTGGTCCACATGGTGCCTTCAAGCTGCTGAAAGTCCCGCCGATAGGTCAACCAGATGCGGGAAGCAAAGTCCTTCTGGAAGCCCTCCAAATCTTCTACAAACCCAAACAGAGTTCAATTATTGTCGAAGGCTTTCATGGCTGGAATAACTGGGTTGTTGTAGGTTTTTTTGGGCTATATGGCCATGTTCTAGAGCAGGGGTCCTCAAACTAAGGCCCAGGGGCTGGATACGGCCCTTCAAGGTCATTTACCCAGCCTTCACTCAGGGTCAACCTAAGTCTGAAATGACTAGAAAGCAGACAACAACAACAATCCTATCTCATCAGCCAAAACCAGGGTCACACTTCCCATTAAAATACTAATACGTTTATATTTGTTAAAATTGTTCATTTTAATTATTGTACTGTTTTTAAGGGTTTTGTTTGCACTACAAATAAGATATGTGCAGTGTGCATAGGAATTAATTCATGTTTTTTTCAAATTATGATCCGACCCTCCAAAAGTATGAGGGACTGTGACCTGGCCCTCTGTTCAAAAAGTATGAGGACCCCTGGTATAGAGGCATTCTCTCCTCATGTTTTGCCTGCATCTATGGCAAGCATCTTCAGAGGTAGTGAGGCCTGTTGGAACTAGGAAAAAGAGTTTATATATCTGTGGAATGACCAGGGTGGGACAAAAAACTCTTGTCTGTTGTAGCTAGGTGTGAATGTTTCAACTGACCATATTACTTGAGAACACAGAAATGCTGGACCACTCTAACAACCACCTTGTCAGACTACATAGAAGCCATTGAAATCCACAAGCATGTGGACAATTTCAACAGAAAGGAGGAAACCATGAAAAGGAACAAAATCTGGATACTAGTATTAAAAAACTCTAAAATTACAACAGCAAAACAGCAGAGGGGAAACAATCAGGGACATCTAATCATCACTCAACAAAAGATTGCCCCAGGCACTGCGAGGCCATCAAATACTAATCATGGTGGTCAGTTGAAACATTCACACCTAGCTCCAGCAGACAAGTGTTCTTTGTCCCACCCTGTCCCATGCGTGCAGATCCCAGTAAGGTGGCCTTCTGCAGCTGGCAGGTGGTAATCTTGTCAGTGCCGATTGTGTTTAAGTGCAGGCCAAGGTCTTTAGGCACTGCACACAGTGTGCCGATCACCACTAGGACCACCTTTACTGGCTTGTGCCAGTCTTTGCAGTTCAATCTTTAAATCCTCATATCGTGTCAGCTTTTCCAGTTGTTTCTCTTCAATCCTGCTGTCACCTGGGATTGCAACATCGACAATCCATACTTTGTTTTTTAACACGATTGTGAGGTCAGGAGTATATTATTGTTGTTGTTGTTGTTGTTGTTGAGAGAAAGGGAAAGCAGAAATCAAAAGGGGGGGTGATTTTAAGACTCATTCTACAAAGCTACCTAGTCATATTAATATTCTGGAAGTGAGCTGCTGGAGGCAACATCCCTTGTAAATTATGCTGTCGGGATCACATGGGCTGCCATAGGCTGAGAAATTTCACACCAAAATGATGAACTGGATGAAAGAGGCTCACATCAGTGAGAACCCTGAACCTGCAGCATCCACTCCACCCTGCCTCCAAAGCTACTCACCATCTCGTTCAAAGTGGTAGGTGTGTCCAAAAATGTGGACTGGGGAAACTTTGCTGAAATTGGTTTTTGTCTTGACCGTCCAGCCTGAGAAGACAAATGAGTCAAGAAAGGTCAGTATTTAAATACTTTTAAATACTCTGGTTTCCAAAACAAGCAACTTTCCCTATAAACTATTGCTGTAGCTGCCTGAGTGCACAAGCACCTTAGAAGAAGAAGCACAACTGTTCAGATCAATAAAAAGCCCAGTGATCCAGTGACAAATACTAAAAGTAAGACTGAGCAGAAAGCATCAATGCCTCACTCCACCCAAGTAGGTGGAAAGCTCATAAGAAGCTTCTTCTATTAATAGGTGGTCCAAGGCTTCCCCTTCCCTTCAGGAAACTGCTTGCTCTCCTTTAGTTGATAATCAAGAGAGAAACGAGTAAAAAGGTGAAGGAACAGGCGAAGGAACTCTTCCAGGTGTAGAAGAAATCAATGACACCATAGTAAACTTGAGAAACCATTTTGACTGAAATATTTTTAAAATCTCACGCGTTCATTCTGTTTAAATATACTCTATATAAATAAAAATGTAATGTTTGTTTGTGGGATTAACAGAATTTAAAAACCACTGCACGAATTTACACCAAATTTGGATACAATACACCTAACAACCCAATGTATGACCTTCACTTAAAAAAAAACAAAAACAAAAAGCAGAAAGGACTTCTAAACTGAATGTCCACAAAGGAGAAACTGCATGCCCACAAAGGAAGAAGGAAGGAAGGAGGGACAGGATGGAAGGAAAAAGGAAGGGAGGGAGGGAAGGAGGGAAAGAAGGGAAGGAAGGTGGCCACGCGCCTTCCTCCTCGCGGGGCAACAGCCGGCCATTAAAGCATTAGGAGCCAGGCGTGAGTACACAGCCACATGGCCACACACACACAAGCGAGAGTGGGCACCATGGAAGTGGAGGCTTGCCGCATGGAGCCCTTCTCTTTCCCTGCTATGTCAGTAGGGCAGTCCCCTCCTCCTCCTTTCCCTGTTGGAAGAGGAAGGGGCGGATGAGTGGCAGCGGCGGCAGTGGGGCCCCCAGGCAAGGAAGAGATGGAGGAGGCGAGGAAGGTCGGCAGTGCTTGAATGAAGGACCTTCCTTCTCTCCCTCACTCCCTTCCCTTTTTTCCTCCCTTTCCTTCCTTTTCTTCCTTCCTTTCCTTCTTTCCCTCCTTCCTGTCCCTCCTTTCTTCTTCCTTTCCTTCTTTTCCCTCCTTCCTCCCTCCCTTTCCTCTTTCTTTCCCTTTCTTCATTTCCTTTCCCTTTCTTTTCTTTCACCGTACCCAAGCAGAGAATGGGAGTGATAAGAGGACCGTGAAGGAGGATGGAAACTGCCTTCCCACCCTCCCTCCTTTTTCCTTTCCTGTCCCTCCTTCCTTCCTCCTTTCCTTCTTTCTATGTAAGATATAAATACAATATTAAATGGAAGGGACAGGCAAGAAGTAACGAGAGAAAGTCAAGAAGTAACGAGAGAAAGTCAAGAAGGAAGGAAGGAGAAAAGAGAGAGCGAGAGAAAGGGGAGGAAGGAAGGAAGGAAGGAAGGAAGGAAGGAAGGAAGGAAGGAAGGAAGGAAGGAAGGAGAGAAAGAAGGAAAGAAAGAAAGGTAGAGAAGCAAGGAAAGAGAGAAGAAAAAAAAAGTGAAAGGAAAAAGAGAGGGAAGGAAGGAGAGAAGGAACAAAAGATAGGGAAGGAAGGAAGGAAGGAAGGAAGGATGTAACCAAAGAGCAAAGAAAGGGAGGAAAGAAACAGGTAGAGATGGAAGAAAGATGAGAGATAGGGAAAGAAAAAGAGGAAAGGGAGGAAAGAGGGAAGGAAGGAGAGAAAGAGGGAGGGAAGGTTGGCCACAGCAACGCGTGGCGGGTACAGCTAGTTAAATATAAATACATGCAGGCATAAATTGTGAGGTTCTTTATGGACATATGGAATGGGGATAGAAACCACATCCTATCCCATTATTCAAGGTGTTCTTGTTTCACACAGGCCCCTGCACAACCTAATCATACGTGAAGATGCAAAAAGTGCCTTCTACAACCAGAGTAGAGAAATTGAAATGCTGTATAGAAACAATGACAGAAGTAATTGTGACATACCAAGCTGAAATCCCTCTTTCAAGTCATCCAAATCCAAATACTTCCTATCTATTATCAAATTTCAGCTTTCAGGAATAATCATGCTAGCTTGGGTTCAGACTCATATATGCTGAGACACATTTCCAAAAAGTGTACTCCACACAAGGGCACATATATGGCCATTCAGGTATATGCTTGGCAGTCTGAGAACCATTTCAGTGTGCTGTGGTTCACAAGTCCAGGATAACGTGAGTGATTGCAAGGACCTTCTCAATGAAACAGCCACCCTACCATCCTATCCTGTCCCATCCCATGGAGCCACACACTAATAAATGTGTCCCTTGTTAACTGGAGGTGTAAAGGAGTAGACTGCATGCATTTTGCTTAAGCTAGAAACAATATCATATGAAAGCTGAGCTAGAAACAATATCATACGAAAGCTGACTGGCACAACCTGGGGTTCACAACCAGATACAGTGAAGACATCTGCCCTTGCGCTATGCTACTCTGCTGCTGAGTATGCATGCCCAGTGTGGAACACATCTCACCACACTAAAACAGTGGATGTGGCTCTTAATGAGACATGCCGCATTATCACGGGGTGTCTGCGCCCTACACCACTGGAGAAATTACACTGTCTAGCCGGTATCGCACCACCTGACATCCGCCGGGAAGTGGCAGCCAATAGTGAAAGGACCAAGGCAGAGACATCTCCAGCTCATCCCCTGTTTGGGTATCAGCCAGCACGTCAACGACTTAAATCCAGACATAGTTTTCTAAGATCTACAGAGACACTCGCTGGAATACCTCAGCAAGCGAGAGTCCAAAAGTGGCAGGCTCAAACCCAGAACCAAATGAGAGACTCCTCCCTGGGCACACAGAAAACTGGGCGACTTGGAAGGCGCTGAACAGACTGCGCTCTGGCACCACGAGATGCAGAGCCAACCTTCAGAAATGGGGCTACAAAGTGGACTCCTCGACATGCGAGTGTGGAGAAGAGCAAACCACTGACCACCTGCTGCAATGCAACCTGAGCCCTGCCACATGAACGATGGAGGACCTTCTTGCAGCAACACCAGAAGCACTCCAAGTGGCCAGATACTTGTCAAAGGACATTTAATCAACTACCAAACTCACACATTTTGTATTTTCTCTGTTTGCTTTGTTCTATTAGAAATGTAATATAATTGACTGGCTGCCCTGACACGAGAAATAAATAAATTTTGCTTAAAAGTACAAAGAGTACCAAAAGTGTTATATGTTTGTCCAACAGTAAACCTGTACACATTGCTTTTGCCCACAAACAACCAGCCTAATGAGAAAGCTGTCCACACGAGTGAATTTATAGCAGGAGAGGGAAACAAGGAACCTTTGCCTTCAACACAGAAGCAAAATAATTAAATATTACATGAAAATAAAGAAAAGCAAAACTATATTACTCCACCTTACATCAAAGAATAGGGCACAGGGAAAAATCCTTACTTGTAATTACACACACACACATCCCTACTTTGATTATGATATTTCTGATAGGAGAAAAATGTCCACCTGCCACAGTTGTGGCTTAAGAAGTTGAAGCAAAGCGGATAGTTTTAAAATAGTTAGAAAACCATGCAAGAAGTGACAATTTTATTACTACAGCTGAAAGTGGTGGGAGATTATAAGGAAATGGATGCAGGATCTGCTCTCCAATCAGATTATTTTCCCTATCCCGTCCTAGCTCATCTATAAAGGTATAAAGGCTTATATGCACTCTCACTCTCTCTTTGGTATGCGTACAAACATCACATTTGAGATCTGTTACCAAAAATAAATACTGAAATTCCTAAGGCCAATCAATCTCCCAGTCTCATCTGGATTTTTTTGGTAAACTCATCAAGACTGTGGCTTCTGTCCATTGTTTGAGCACAATGAATGAATGCATTTGTTGCAAGACCTGGAGTTTTGCCACATGGCAGAGACTGGGAAGCATTCCAGATCTCAAGAGATGAAGGACTTTCAGGGAATTATTGTTGCACAAACAAGAATCACACAAGGAAAGTCACTCAATGGCACTACAAGTGTAAGGACAACATGAGAATCAGGTCTCTAGAGTGAACAGGGTACAAAGTCACCTGCAATTTAAGCAACCTAAAGGGGAAATAAGATAAGCATGCCCCAAATTTGTGATTTGAGAACTGTTATTTCCCCCTGAAACAGGATTACTTTCCTGAGTTTAAAATCATAGTATCTTACTAAGTATAATTGCAACTGGTACACCTGTTGATTTATTCATGCTAAACACTCTTTGCTAATAATGACATGTGCACATTTAATTCTTTATCTGTCTGAGTAAGACAGTCCAATTGATATGCCATTTTGTAACTATTTTTATCCTCTAAAATTTAAGACCAGATTAAGAAATATTAATACCAGCAGTATTTTTCATTAAATATTAACCCAAGGGGAGCAACTAAACATTACATGAACATTATTTTAAAGGGTTGTTGTAGGTTTTTCCGGGCTATATGGCCATATTATAGAGCAGTGTTCCTCAACCTGGGGGTCGGGACCCCTGGGGGGGTCGCGAAGGGGTGTCAGAGGGGTCGCCAAAGACCATCAGAAAACACAGTATTTTCTGTTGGTCATGGGGGTTCTGTCTGGGAAGTTTGGCCCAATTCTATCACTACTTGATTGTAAGTGAACTATAAATCCCAGCAAGTACAACTCCCAAATGTCAAAGTCTATTTTCCCCAAACCCCATTGTTCACATTTGGGCATATTGAGTATCCGTGCCAAGTTTGGTCCAGATCCATCATTGTTTGAGCCCACAGTGCTCTCTGGATGTAGGCAAACTACTACTCCCAAACTCAAGGTCAATGCCCACCAAACCCTTCCAGTATTTTCTGTTGATCATGGGAGTTCTCTGTGCCAACTTTAGTTCAATTCCATTGTTGGTGGGGTTCAGAATGCTCTTTGTTTACATGTTAACTATAAATCCCAGCAACTACAACTCCCAAATGACAAAACCAATCCCCCTGCCAACCCCATCAGTATTCAAATTTGGGCATACCGGGTATTTGTACCAAATTTGCTCCAGTGAATGAAAATACATCCTGCAAATCATTTTTTACATGGCGATCCATAATGTTAGGGTTATGGTTGGGGGTCACCACAACATGAGGAACTGTATTAAGGGGTCGTGGCATTAGGAAGGTTGAGAACCACTGTTCTAGAAGCATTCTCTCCTGATGTTTCGCCTACATCTATGGCAAGCATCCTCAGAGGTAGTGAGGTCTTATTATTTTAAAGGTTCTCTCTCATTTCTGAGTGTTATAACAAATACAACTTTTACTCAGAATTATCTGAAAGCACATTTGTTTATTCTTGCAACTGAAGAATACAGAAAAATCCATTTGGCGATCCATGTGTTGTGACTACCTTTTATTATGTGCAATCAATATAACTCTGGGTGCTGTAAAGTTATGTAATGGCCTATGAAGAAGACATGCTAATGATCCACAAGTGCTTGGGAAACCTTTAATTTTGAGGCGGCTGTGAGATCACAAGTGTTTAATCACTACCACATCTCCATGTGTTGTGAGAAGCTCATTCCAGTCACAGAAAAACAAGCATGACAACTCACCTAAGCAACAAGTTGCTAATTAAGTTGGCAACTGGGTGGCCTAGATATCAATTTCCATCTCTTGTATCTAGTCCTATTCCAGATGAAACTGTGAGTAATCTTCCCTGCTTCAGATGCTGCCCCAAACCCCTTTGGGGAGATGGAGGCGGGGTACAAAAATAAAGTTGTTATTGGGTTGTTGTAGGTTTTTTTGGGCTATATGGCCATTTTCTAGAGGCATTCTCTCCTGACGTTTTGCCTGCATCTATGGCAAGCATCCTCAGAGTTAGTGAGGTACTCGAGGTAGTAAAGTTGTTATTGTTACTATTATTATCTGTGACACGAGAACAACAACAGAGGTGAGACAGATTTCAGCCACCATTACCAGATTAGGATTTTCCAGCCCCAATAGATACCCTGCAAATTGAGAGCATAAAGGGGGCACATGAATGCAAATGATGCCTTGCTAACCAAATGCCTACTGTAAGGAACTTGTCCCCAACTTAAGGTGCCTGAATATCATAGCTGTATAGGAGAATGGAGAAACGTATTTTTTTATTTTACTATTATTCCTGCCAGTATATTTTAGCTGATTAACATGGAAACTAAGGAAAGGAAGGGCCTCTGCTCCCAGTTTCCCTGCAAAGTACAACTTACCATATTTTACATTGTTCCAAGTAGAGAGGAGCTTGCTTTTGATCTTGTCCACTTCGTCAGGCTCACTTTGCTGGTTCCGTGCTGCAGCTCCTCCAGGGAAGAGCCCCGAGTAGGTCCTTCCCTGGCTACTGGCCCTGGGATTGAACAGTTGCTTTCCTTCTGAGTGGCGCAGCTCATCTTGGCTTCGGTACTGCACTGAGGTTGGTGACACGGAATTCATTTAACAACAGAGATCAGTGCAAGATGGGTCTTCTCTGTGGGGCATGGATGACACCTCCACATGCATTGCCAGGCAAGGAGAACTGCAGAACCAGCAAAGGGAAAGGTGTACGTCTCCCTAGCTGGGCAACTAAGACAAACAAAGGCCAAAGACTTTATTTCAAAATGAAAACAAATACTTACAGAAAAGATTCATATCCGCCCATAGTCTAATCCATATAAATAAAAAATGTAATGTTCAATGTATTGTCAAAGGCTTTCATTGCCGGAATCACTGGGTTGTTGTAGGTTTTTTCAGGCTATATGGTCTAGAGGCACGGTCTAGAGGCACGAGAAAGAACTTCCTGACTGATCAAGGGAATCTCCTTTCTTGCAGTTTGAAGCCATTGCTCCGCATACTAGTCTCCAGGGAAGCAGAAAACAAGCTTGCTCCCTCCTCTCTATGACTTCCCCTCACATATTTATACATGGCTATCATGTCTCCTCTCAGCCTTCTCTTCTTCAGGCTAAACATGCCCAGCTCTTTAAGCCGCTCCTCACAGGGCTTGTTCTCCAGACCCTTGATCATGTTAGTCGCCCTCCTCTGGACAATTCCAGCTTGTCAATATCTCTCTTGAATTGTGGTGCCCAGAATTGGACACAATATTCCAGGTGTGGTCTAACCAAGGCAGAATAGAGAGGTAGCATGACTTCTCTGGATATAGGGCAGTGGTTCTCAACCTGTGGGTCCCCAGATGTTTTGGCCTTCAACTCCCAGAAATCCTAACAGCTGGCATACTGGCTGGGATTTCTGGGAGTTGTAGGCCAAAACACCCGGGGACCCACAAGCTGAGAACCACAGATCTAGAAAACATCAGGAATTCTGGGAGTTGGAGGCCCAAACAGTTGGAAGGCCACAGTTAGAGGCTGCCTGCCTTAGAGGATGAGGGTGCATCTACACTGGGGAATGAATGCACTTTGACCGCACTTTAACTGTCATAGCTCAGCGAGTCTCCTTTGTGAGGAGGAAAAGCGGGCTACACATAAACATAATAATAATCATCACCATAGAATCATAGAATCAAAGAGTTGGAAGAGACCCCATGGGCCATCCAGTCCAACCCCCTGCCAAGAAGCAGGAATATTGCATTCAAAGCACCCCTGACAGATGGCCATCCAGCCTCTGTTTAAAAGCTTCCAAAGAAGGAGCCTCCACCATACCCCGGGGCAGAGAGTTCCACTGCTGAACGGCTCTCACAGTCAGGAAGTTCTTCATAGAATCATAGAATCAAAGAGTTGGAAGAGACCTCATGGGCCATCCAGTCCAACCCCCTGCCAAAAAGCAGGAATATTGCATTCAAAGCACCCCTGACAGATGGCCATCCAGCCTCTGCTTAAAAGCTTCCAAAGAAGGAGCCTCCACCATACCCTGGGGCAGAGAGTTCCACTGCTGAATGGCTCTCACAGTCAGGAAGTTCTTCATAGAATCAAAGAGTTGGAAGAGACCTCATGGGTCATCCAGTCCAACCCCTGCCAAGAAGCAGGAATATTGCATTTAAATCACCCCTGACAGATGGCCATCCAGCCTCTGTTTAAAAGCTTCCAAAGAAGGAGCCTCCACCATACCCCAGGGCAGAGAGTTCCACTGCTGAACGGCTCTCACAGTCAGGAAGTTCTTCATAGAATCATAGAATCAAAGAGTTGGAAGAGACCTCATGGGCCATCCAGTCCAACCCCCTGCCAAGAAGCAGGAATATTGCATTCAAATCACCCCTGACAGATGGCCATCCAGCCTCTGTTTAAAAGCTTCCAAAGAAGGAGCCTCCACCATACCCGGGGCAGAGAGTTCCACTGCTGAACGGCTCTCACAGTCAGGAAGTTCTTCATAGAATCATAGAATCAAAGAGTTGGAAGAGACCTCATGGGCCATCCAGTCCAACCCTCTGCCAAGAAGCAGGAATATTGCATTCAAATTATTATTATTATTAAATTATTATTATTAAACTTTATTTGTACCCCGCTAGCATCTCCCGAAGGATTCGATGCGGCTTACACAGGCCGAGGCCTCAACACACAACACAACAATACAATCTAAGCAAATCAAACAATTAAAAACAGAATAAAGCAAAATAAACAACAGGCACAATACAGTAAACACAATAAAACTGGGCCGGGCCAGAGCAATGGGTACAAGATTAAAAGTGCTGATGTGACAGGAGGTGTATATAGGGCTTCCAGGGCAAGTGCGATGTGCAATGTGCAGCAGTCATTGGTTCTGATAAAGTGCTTATGGGACTTGGTGGTGGAGATTTCCTAATCTGGGAAGGCGCATCGGAAAAGCCAGGTCTTCAAGTTCTTTCTGAAGACAGCCAATGTAGGGGCCTGTCTAAGGTCTTTGGGGAGGGTGTTCCAGAGTCGGGGGGCCACCACGGAAAAGGCCCTGTCCCGCGTCCCCACCAAGCGCGCTTGCGACGCCGGTGGGATCACGAGCAGGGCCTCTCCAGATGACCGAAATCACCCTTGACAGATGGCCATCCAGCCTCTGTTTAAAAGCTTCCAAAGAAGGAGCCTCCACCATACCCCCGGGCAGAGAGTTCCACTGCTGAACGGCTCTCACAGTCAGGAAGTTCTTCATAGAATCAAAGAGTTGGAAGAGACCTCCTGGGCCATCCAGTCCAACCCCCTGCCAAGAAGCAGGAATATTGCATTTAAATCACCCCTGACAGATGGCCATCTAGCCTCTGTTTAAAAGCCTCCAAAGAAGGAGCCTTCTTAATAATAATAATAATAATAATAATAATAATAATAATAATAATAAAGGAACGATGGGAGCTGTAGTTTTTCGAGGGACCCACCTCCTTGAGCAGAGAAGGCTCGAGGCCTTGTCAAACTACAACTCCCAGGATCCCCCAGAATGGAGCCCAAAGCAGAGAAGGTGGGGTCAGGCGGCCTTCATTCATTCATTCGACTCATCCCCGCAGGCAACCAAGGTCACGAGTCCCAGAAAGAACCACCAACCCTCCGCCATATTTCCCCCTCCCTCTTTCCCTTCCCTCCTCCTTCAGCTCCATACAGCAACCCAACCCCCTCGGCCAGACCTGGGCGGACATAGGGCCCTTCCCCGGGCGACTCGCCACCGCCGTTCAGCCCAGCGTCGTCACGGTTGCAGCCCTCAACCCCGGCACCAGCCACAGCAACGCCGCCATCTTGGCTCCCGGAAGCAGCTGTGAGGAGCCAGCTTGTTGGGGCGGAAGTGGCTTCTTCGCCCTCAGCTCCTTGCCGGGCATGCGCTCTCTCGTGGAGGGTGGGGGAGACAATAGATATAGATAAGTAGAGTGCGTTGCATTAATGTCCCTGCTCTGCTTGCGAGTTTATAATATGAACCAAGAGACAATGTATTTGATGGAGTAGGTCTTTGATCTTAGAATAATAGAATAACAGTTGGAAGAGACCACATGCATCATCAGGTCCAACTCCCTGTCATGCAGGAAAGGTACAATCAAAGCACTCCTGACAGATGGCCATCCAGCTTCTGAGGACCATCCCAGGCACTGCCAGGCCATCAAATGCTAATCAAGGTGGTCAGTTGAAACATTCACACCTAGCTCCAGCAGACAAGAGTCTTTTGTTAGACCACACCTTCCGCTTTTGTTAGACCACACCTGGAATATTGTGTCCAATTCTGGGCACCACAATTGAAGAGAGATATTAACAAGCTGGAATGTGTCCAGAGGAGGGCGACTAACATGATCAAGGGTCTGGAGAACAAGCCCTATGAGGAGCGGCTTAAGGAGCTGGGCATGTTTAGCCTGAAGAACAGAAGGCTTGGAGGAGATATGATAGCCATGTATAAATATGTGAGAGGGAGCCACAGGGAGGAGGGAGCAAGCTTGTTTTCTGCTTCCTTGGAGACTAGGACGCAGAACAATGGCTTCAAACTACAAGAAAGGAGATTCAACAGAAAGGAAGAAACCATGAAAATGAACAAAATCTGGCTACCAGTATTAAAAAAAACTCAAAAATTACAGCAGAAAAACAACAGAGGGGAAACAAACAGGCACATAAAATCACCCTCAACAAAAGATTCCCCCCAGCCGCTACCAAGCCATTGAATGCAAATCAAGGTGATCAGCTGAAACATTCACAGCTAACCCCAGCAAACAAAAGTACTGTGGTCATTCCACAGATATATAAACCAATTTTTCCTAGTTCCAACAGACCTCATTACCTCTGAGGATGCTTGCCATAGATGCAGGCGAAACGTCAGGAGAAAAATTGCCTCCAGAACATGGCCATATAGCCCGGAAAAACCTACAACAACCCAAAGGAGATTCCATCTAAACACGAGGAAGAACTTCCTGACTGTGAAAGCCGTTCAGCAGTGGAACTCTCTGCCCCGGAGTGTGGTGGAGGCTCCTTCTTTGGAAGCTTTTAAACAGAGGCTGGATGGCCATCTGTCAGGGGTGATTTGAATGCAATATTCCTGCTTCTTGGACAGGGGGTTGGACTGGATGGCCCATGAGGTCTCTTCCAACTCTTTGATTCTATAATTCTGTGATTCCTTTTCTGGGATTGTGGCGCAGCTGGCTGAGTGTCAGCTGCATTAAGATCACTCTGACCAAAAGGTCATGAGTTCGAAGCCAGCCGGGTTGGAGTGGGTTTCCAACCAATTGTGTAGCCTGTTGTTGACCTTTGCAACCCGAAAGACAGTTGCATCTGTCAAGTAGGAAAATAAGGTACCACCTTAAAGTGTGGAGAGGCTAAATTAACTAATTTATGAGACCGTAAAGACTTCAGCAAAAGCATGGGCGAATGCGGAAGTACTTCATCAGTGTCACAGATGGATGATGAAAGCGACAGCTCCCCTGGCGGCCAGAAAGAGTTAAATAGCCTCTGTCTATGTCTGTATATGTTTGTGTGTCAAAAATTGGTGTTGAAAGTTTGCCATGTATGTGTACACTGTAATCCGCCCTGAGACCCCTGCGGGGTGAGAAGGGCGGAATATAAACGCTGTAAATAAAATAAATAAATAAACTTTTTAAAATTTGGCAACCATTTTGATCATACATAAAGGGGAAACGAAAAATAGCAACACTTGTGGGATTTGAAGCTTGAGTTTGATGGTTTGCTTTTGATGTAGAAGTTTAAATTTTATTTCAATAATGAGAAGTTTGTATGGCTGTCTGTGGCTGGCAGGGTGGGAAATCAAATGTGAATTTGTTAAGCTCTGTGTGGGGGAATTTATGGCAGAAGGATAAAGAAGTGACCGTCTTGTATGGAGTGTGAATATTCTTTTTTCTGTCTTTTCTTTTCTTACTGTAGTGTCTGTCTTATTTTCAAAAAATGGCAGAAAAATTGAATGTAATTTCTAAAACCCTCATCATCTCGAACAATATATTTCTGGTATGCATAGAGAGATATATAAGTGCTTATTTTTTTAAAAAAGAAAACCAGAATGTATGGAGTGCGTGAAGCTGAAATTTCAGCAGCTGCACTGACAGACGAGGAATAATAAATCACTGGGCTTCTTTCGCACTACACAGCTTTAGCACTTTGATCCCACTTTAACAGCCCTGGTTCCATCCTGGCTCCCAGCTATGACTCATTCTCCCATTACCTCAACCATCTGTGGGAGACTGGTGAAGGAGGAATTCAAGACTGGAATGTGGATAACTGGGTCATGGTGGTTTTCAGGCAAAGGAACGTATGTCTCACTGTTCACTATTTCTCCCTTCCCATTCCTGGGACAGATTTCCTGGCCTAGATCCAATTGCTCGTTCCAACGAGAGTAGAGTGATTTAATCAATGGAAACTTGGTCGATCAACATCCATAGATTCATAGAATCAAAGAGTTGGAAGAGACCCCATGGGCCATCCAGTCCAACCCCCTGCCAAGAAGCATGTAATCCATGTAAATTCGGTTTATTTGTGTATATAAGTCGCAGAAATATGGCAGACAGTATTGCACCAGATCAGCTGCCTTTTGTCTCCACCCCATATTGCTTATAATGCAAAAGAAGAAACATTTCTGTCAGCTCAATTTCTTAATTTACTAACATACATATCCGGCATTGACCAGGTGTCAAAGGAGTCACTGCCCTGCTTCCTCCTCCCATCTCCAGCTCAGAGGGGGCCTACCTTACAATGGCCCCTTCTACACTGCCATATAAAATCCAGGCAATGTTGTTGTTGTTCAGTCACTTCCAACTCTTTGTGACTTCATGGACCAGCCCACGCCAGAGCACCACCCCCAGGCTCTTTCAGAGTCAAATCCAGTTCAAAGTGTAATTGGAGGTGACCCCACCCCCCAGGGCTCTGTAAAAGATAGTTCAGAATCAGGGAATTCATAGTTTTCCCAAGGGCACCAGGGTGGAATGATCCCACAATTCCCTATAACTTTTATGAACTTTCATAAACATTACAGGAACTTTTATGGACTTTGGGGAACTGACATGACTTCCCTTAGACCAGTGGTTCTCAACTTTTCTAATGACGCGACCCCTTAATACAGTTCCTCCTGTTGTGGTGACCTCCAATCATAAAATTATTTTTGTTGCTTCTTCATAACTGCAATTTTGCTACTGTTATGAATCGTAATGTAAATATCCGATATGCAGGATGTATTATCATTCACTGGACCAAATTTGGCACAAATACCTGATATGCCCAAATTTGAGTACTGGTGGGGTTGGGAGTAGGGGATTGATTTTGTCATTTGGGAGTTGTAGTTCACCTACAATCAAAGAGCATTCTGAATTCCACAAACAATGGAATTTAACCAAATTTGGTACCAGAACTTCCCACACAGAATCCCCATAACCAACAGAAAATACGATGTTTTCTGATGGTCTTTGGTAACCCCTCTGACACCCCCTTGCGACCCCCAAGGGGTCCCAACCCCCAGGTTGAGAAAGGCTGCCTTAGACCCTGCATTATTTCCCCCTTTTCCTATGAATTCTGTGTATGCTCCCATGCCCCATTCCTTATTCCATTTATGTATGTATGTATGTATATATGTATGTATGTATTTATGTCTATATAAGAAAATATGAAGCAAAGCGACCTTTTCATGAACCAGCAACTCATGGCTCTTGGAGTTTCCAAACTTCCTGAGCCAATAATCCCCAAACAAAGGACTTAACCAAAACCATTTGCATGGACAATAAGTAAATGGCTCTATCTATCTGGACCTCGGAGGGCTGATAGCCAGGCCATCCAGAATAATGGAGTCTGTGGACATACTGGATCACCCAACATAAAGGACATTTCCCCATCTCCCCCTCTCCGGGGATTTGTCACCGCCTCCCTGCTGTGCCACATCCCGATCTCCGAAACCAATCTCAACTTCATAAATGTGTTGTTATTGATGTATCATTACTTTGTATACTATGCTGTTAATGGTTTTTAAATTGTATGTTGTTATGATTGACTTTTTGCTCTTGTTGTGAACCGCGTTGAGTCGCCTACGGGCTGAGAAACTGCGGTATACAAGCAAAGTAAATAAATAAATAAATGAATGAATGCATACATGTAAAACAAAGGACCTGGCCTTTCGGGGCTAGACAAAGATGTTAATTCAAAGATCAGGACAATAACCCTGACCAGGCTTGAGAGCCTAAAGCTATCGCTTGGTTGCTTGGCAAACACTGGTCATTTGTAATCCAGTCACCTAGACATTTCTTCATTGTTTCCCTGTTGCCTGCCTCTCTCTCGCACCTCATTGGCTGAGTGGCCAAAGCAGGACCAGGGCCCTCATTTGATCTCCTCCCGGTCAAAAAATGTTTGGAACCACTACATTAGAATCTTCACTTGGATAATAATTTCCTTAGTTAACATGATCATTCCTGGCAGGCCCGTAGCCAGGATTTTGATTTGGGGGGGGGGCTGAGTTTGATTCGGGGGGGGGGGCTGAGTCTGAGTGAAAGAGGGTCTACCCTAGCAAACCTTTTGTATCGTTACCCCAATACCCCCATGCATATGGGATATATTGAGCATGGTGATCAGATCATGATATGAATAAATATAACAGTTTAAATAATGCAGCCAGGCCTTCTTGTGGACCACCCTGAGAATTTCGGGGGGGGGGGCTGAAGCCCCTCAACCCCCCCCCCAGCTACATGCTTGATTCCTGGAGAACAAACTACGTAGAGGATAGTTGTCATGATAATGGGATTTATTCTCAAAAGACATGCCAATAACTGCTACAGTAGTGTGAAGTGTGTAGGATGCTAGAGCCCCACTCATTC